CTAAACGAGGCACCAGCCGCCGCTACCGAATCAGTCTCCAGTAATGCCGAAATAGCAGCATCAAACACATCATTCCTTTTCAAAGGATCCAAGTGGCTATCAACCCTGGGCCAATAACCTGACTGGCGGTCGTAGGAGAACGACGCAAGCGACCCCCTCCTCAAGGCAGCAATGCTTTTTAGCTGTCAACATACCTGAGTCCACAGAACCCACGGCGCAAGCTATGCTCAACTCAGATGTAGTCCTGCTTTGAGAATTCATGGCCGGGTTTTGCGTCTCAGAGGAGGACCCAAGCACCACGAGTGTCTCTCTAACCGTTCATTGAGTACATCGTTGGGCGTTCCTTTTGAGTGTACACTTTGAAGCGAAAAAGGGTCACTCAACGAACGGCAGAAAACATGTACCCTATATTACGCCATTTTCGTTCCCTATTTTATATGCTTATTCCGCGCATGGCAGTTAACGAATAGTTGCCTGTTCGCTTTTTATCCTGTTCAGGATAATTATCGTAATGCATACATTGTTCAGTTCAGTTCATCATTAATTTTGTACAGCATAATACAACGAAGCGAACTTCACTGATCGCTGCCAAAGTTCAGTTCAGTTCAGTTTGTACAAGACGGAAGTGGTCGAGACCAATCGTGCATCCAGATCGTTGTGTTGTCAGCTAGTTGCCTTGGCTTCCAACACTGCTCGTCAAACGTTCGTTCTGCTTTTTTTCTGAAAGGCGGAATTTTTAGGTGCAGTATCGCATCCACCAGATATAAATGGAATACATAGATATAGGAACGACCTCACTCTGTTTCTTCATCGCCTCTCTAGTGGCCGGCTCCGGAAATACCGCTTCCCGACACAGATCCAAAGCCCTTTTGTAACCAAATCTTTCATCTCCTTTAATCGTTATATGGTGTATACAGTTTGTATCTGTATATACATATATGCATACGATCATATTGGGAATCCTTATTTTTCATTTACGACGCAAATAAAACAAACGGAAATTCGGTAGAATATTTTGTGTTTTTTCTGGTACATGAATTACTCCACAGTGTCCCATGGATTCAGTTTTCTTTGTCTCTTTCTGAAATGTAAAAAATAGCGTAGCTAGATTATTTGTTGCCGATCCAATAGACATCATGGAATTTCGCAATTATAAAAGCTTACCACTCAGTTGTTCTTCAATCGTTGACATACCGGTGTCATCATGTCTTTCTTTTCGTCGGGTTCGCTGAATCCATGTTTGGACTTTTTCGGCCAGGATTATGGGATTTATATCCGAAAAATATCTCTTCATAACAACATCTGTTTAAGTCTATTACTTACAAGTATATACCAAATTACCTATTATCAGTTTGCAGATTATTGTATCGAGCAAGGCCAGCTTGCCGTTCACACTTCGCCAGTTGATCGAAGCCAACAGTAAGCCGTCGAATGGGGTGCGCAAAATCGACCGAAGGCAATTTCCGGCCGAATGCGTTTTGCACCTTCAAAGTGTAAAATGCTACTACAAGGTTGGGTTGATGCAGCACCCAGTCTCACCCTAACTGGGGAAGTAGTAGGGGAAGCAGACAAATTTTGCTATCTAGGCAGCTATATCTCACCTGGCGGACGCATCACAGATGAAGTGTCTGCTCGCATACAGAAGGCTCGGTTAGCATTTGCCAACTTGAGACATCTTTGGCGCCGTCGCGACATCCGGCCGTCTGTTAAGGGTTGAGTGTATGCTGCGGCAGTTCGGCCAGTTGTGCTATACGGTGCAGAAACTTGGCCATTAAGGAGGCAGGATAAAGATAGACTGTCTGTGTTTGAACACCGCTGTCTACGCAGCATTGCGCGAATCTGGTGGGACAGCCAGACGAGCAATACTGAGGTTAGGCGTAGAGTTTTCTAAGTCATCGTGGTCGTCCACTAGAGCAAATGGTCGACCTCCATAGGTTGGGGAATTTGTTACGCATGTCACCAGATAGGTTGCCACGGCGAGCGATGTTCGCCGAGGCAGGTAGTGAGTGGAAGAAAGTCTAGAGTGGCCAAGCTAAGACTTGGCATGAGGGTATGAAAACCCTAACCATGAGTCTGGGTCACGTAGGTCCCGTTAGGCTGAACGAATGGGGACCTCAGAATGATGGTCACCGATGGTTAGATACACTGAATGATATGGTCGAGTGTCGTGAACAATGGCGTTCGTGCATCTTGTCAGTTTCTCTGCAACATTAGTACAAAGAAATCCTAAATTTTCTCCTTGATTCTACTTTCTTTCTCCTAGCCATCACGACGAGACTGCACCTTGACGTGGTGTGATGGCTTGCGTGCCTCCATGACCCTGCGAGCTACACAGGATGGCTTCTCACAACCGTAGATCCAATCATGCCTGAAAGGTCAACGGGTAGAGGCCCGACGAAGCTTAGTCTCACAAAACCAGCTGTTTGGGCATCTCCCGGTTTCCTTTTCTATCCACGCCCGCCGCTAGAGAAATCACTCTAGTAAATAAACACGTTGAGGGACAGTTTACCGGTAAAAAATCCCGCTAGATGGACATGAGAGTGGGGTACCTGGGGCTTCTTCTCGACGGTGGGAGAAGTCTTCGCACTCCATTGGAGAGCTACCGCCCGCCCAAGCTGGGCAGCCCCCAGCCAATAAGGTGCTGTTCCGTCCACGTTCCGCTTGTCTCATTGGGTTCATGAGGCTGAGGGCTGATCCCGAAAAGCGGACCGATAATCAACGCACCAGCGAACAACACAATTAATCGAAATTCAAAGGCCTTGCGTGACAGGTTTCTAGAAACGCCCATACAGGTGCTCCGTTCACGTTCCCGCGTTGGATTTGCGCCCCACTGCCTTGTGGGTCAGACTTTTGAGTCAAAGGCTCCGGTTAGGGTTTCCAAGGAAAAACCCCTTCGTCGGTGTGGGCTGCCACGAAGTGTGCCGTGCCCTAAAGTCTTGGGTACCCATTTGAAAAACCATCTTTCCCAGCTGTCTAGTCCTTCTTCTCAATCCCGATTAATTCCAGGTGCCTCCTGCTTACGAGACCCATCGCATATCACTCAGCGTTCAACTAATAAGGTCAACCACTCAGAGGCTGCCAGATTTTTGAAACCAAAATCCCCTCTTCACCTAGC